CTAAGGTCATCCAACATCTGACAACTAGGAAGTTTATTGCATTTCATTTTCGTATAGTTCTTCGTCCATACACTTTCTCCACATAAAACAACCCAGCTTTTGACAAGCTGCCTCAAAGGTGTCTTTCAGAATAAGGTCCTACTGTGTTCCTGTATTGGTGCTACATAGCATTGTCGCTTGTATGTACAAAAAAAGTCATTCGTTTAACCGTCACCCGTTGGCTTGCTGTTTTGTGTACCTTCTTTAGGTAGCTCCCGCACTCACACCTACACCTTTCAGCACGCATTTACCGGCTTGACCTAAAATAGGTACGTTGTGCAATGACCTGACGGTAACTCGGCTAGACGCATCGTGGAACAGTTGAATAGCATCTTCCTAGGCAGTCGAAAGCATCCTGGACATGTAACGGGTTTGCAAAACCTGACTTGCTTTCCTGGGAGTAAAGTGATACCGGGGCTTCAGGCAGCTTCACTAGGCTTGTAGGTTAGGTTGAGGCCCAGGCGGCCGTGTCGTTTGTCCTCGCCTCCCTCTGCCTCCCAGAACCAAGGAAAGCAAGGACTCAGCAAGCACAAGCCGGCTAGGGAATAGGGGACGTCCGATATGGCCTGCGAGGCTCTGCGACGCCGTTTATAGGCCCGTCGGGTATCGTGAACAAGGTAATCTTATTGCTTCCAATTGAGACAGATACCGAAGGCGAGTTCGTGTGTCCCTATCGTTCCATGGTTGGATGCCATCCCGACAACCGTTTCGTCCCGAGCCCGACTAAGCTGACGAACCTAAGTCCAACAAGGATACTTTTGAGTGCACACGACCCGCTTACATTGCGATGTAAGACTGCATCCACTGGAGCTTTAATCTTAAAACATCTAGTAATTAATGAATGCAGCCACTCACGCACTCCGACGTTATATAAATATATACATCAAGTAGAAAAACACGAAAACGGCAAACTTCGGTGTCGTAAATTGAACGCAGTACGACCGTGGTCGTATAGGAAAACGCCTGTCATTTTGTTACGTTTTTGTCTAGCCCCTTTCGCCTTATCTACATTGGAAAAGTTTTGGGCAAGTTTTGATGTTACCGTTGATCTTTCGCAAACATACAGGCCCAGAGTTTTGACTTTACGATAATGTGGGAACAAATTCCAAAGGCCGGCTACCGAACGAGACTCTTAGATTGCTAGATATAGACTGCTCTATGTCATTGTGCTGGTGAATACTTGAGTGCATGTACGTAACAGTAGCAAGTGCAAGGGAGCGGCAGATCGCGGTTCATTGTGTCTCGGTCTCTGTATCGGATACGTATTGAAGGTCATCCATTGGTCGGCGCTCTCAGCCACAGCCGGGCCCCGTCACGTACGATCCTATGCCGCATAAGAACAAACTGCACGATTCGTTCTAAGCACTAACAAGAAGAACCAGGGTGCGAGTACGAGGCAAATAATAATAGTTCGGCACGACGTAGCCAAATGCCAGGGGGAGATAAAGGGCCGAATATCGTCGAAAAAAGAATAGGCACTTCGTGTTACTGTGCTTCGCGAATATGTATGATTGATGTTGAAAAAAGTAAAACTAACCTTTTATGCTTCTTTGACTCACTCATAGCAGAAGAAGAAAGCGGGTATTTGGGTGTATAGAAGCACTTCGTGGAGGCTTTTCGACCTACTCGTTATTTTTTGGTAACGGAAAAGAACTTTTACTGAGATTCTCCTGCCGTATCGATGGCAACCATAATACCGATTCTTCGAGTATGTGGCGTTTTGTACATCGGTGCTGCCAGATTGTTGTGTGATAGTTAGCAAGGTCCTCGTAAACCATGGTATAGGAATGCATGATCTTTCGACTGATTTACTCGCCCGTGCTAGATAATGCGCGTACCGCGCACACAGTGCATATTTGCAATTCCTGATTTTATCTCTAATTCGTCTTTGTTTTGTTTCGGTTTTTGGCAGCAAATCCCTTTCTCTCATGGCCAGGCCATTTGTCTGTTGGTCTGTCGCATGCTGCACCATTTGTGCGATGTATCTCTGGCCCTTGGCGACTCCATCGGTCGTCGTTACTCGGCTAAATATTAATGGACGGCGGAATGAGTTGCGAACAAATCGCAGGTCATCGCATGATGAACCATCGACCTCCGATGAAGCGATACTCTACGCGTTCATTACCTCTAGTAATAAAGTGGCTTTTACTGCAGCTTGCAACTGCTTTGGAAGTGACCAACGACTAATAACGCGACAATGCTTCTAGCATGGTTTACATTAGTTGGTATCAGCGTATCGCATCAGTGGGTTTATTCGTGCATGGGAATGAAGCGTTTTATTTCCTCCACTCATTCCTTTAATACGTGAGTTTGGGGGAACACGATGGCCGCCTTCACTTAGCACGATGTCAAGCAAGTCTACCATGCACGTAATGGCCAAACGAGTGTGACTTAGTAAATATTGTTGCTAGTTTATAGTCAGAATAATATGACGATTATATATAGCCTGCTACCTACCGGTTGATTTGTTCAGCGGCTTCCTACGTGCGTCCGGAAACAGTCGTAACCTGGTACTTCTGGACGCGTGAATAACAGCAGTCGCACTAGACGTTCTGGCAGAGTATAACTCGATTCATTCAAGTGAATCGACCGAGCCGATCGCTTATTCTTATCACGGACGCCAGGCACCTCAGATTAGAGGTCAGTGGTGCAGCCGACTACCAAGGATCAGCTTGATAATCTATGAGAAGTGCGGCGAACAGAGCAGTGAAGCAAAGCCACGAAGCTTGGAAAGTGCAGCAACTGAGAGAAAGAAAATAATGGCTTTTTTTACTTTTTCAAATATCCGAGAGTTTTTAGTTGTTCGATTCTCTATGGATATTCCACGAACCTTGGGCCAACGTAGCGTAGTCATACTATGAGAGTTAACGTCATCCTTGAATAACCCTGTTACGGTCTTCCGACAATGAGCGCGGCTGACAAGCAACGGGGCTAAAGTTTGACTCTGGCATTGCTTCTACTCAGGGCTGGCTGCCGAGGATCAAGAGCCATGGACCAAGGAACACTAACACGAACCGGCGCTGTCTGGCTTAGGTCGTAGTCGGGCAAGCCTTTGGCCGATCCAATCGTTCCCCCGCTGGCCTGGTATTTTCCCGTCAGCCTGCGGGCTTCATATGGATAGTAAACACCAAAATCCCATCTCGCTGTGGTCATCTCATCATCAGCAAAAGGAAAACGGGCCAATGGGCTGCCTTCTGTGGATGCATCCAAAGAGGAATCTATGCGTTGCTGAAGCAAGGCTTCTTACTGCTGGCGATGCGGGTAGCAGTGAAGAGCGTAGAAGCAAAAGCCCCTGCAGCTGCAGTAACATAGTCAGTCGTTACTAACAAGCAAGAAGAATGGACACAATCGAGAGCTATCCCGGCTGGACGGCGACTGTGTGCTTCCTATTTGGATCGCATCCCAAATAATGATATCGTCGAGATCCTCCATACGGTGCTCTCATCCTTCCAGCAGCAGCCCTTCTTTTTCGTGCCGGAACTCTCGCTTAAGGCTTGGCGCGCTGAAGGGACTAGTAGAAATAGCGGCAGGTAAGGCGGCACCGACATTGGTAGTAACGGCGAGATCGACGCATTGCTGAACCCCACGTTCTATCCGGTAGATATTTTCTTCAACCATCGTCAATTTTTCCTTGTACCCCGAGTAGATTGTTTCGCGGAGAGGGGATCCGCTGGTGTGAGTGAGCAGAAGAAGAATACAACTCATTGTCATTTGCGTTAATTACGAAAATTCTGTAAAAATGTTACTGCACGTTCAATATTTTATTGCGACTCTTTGATCTGATCAGATAATCGAGAGTATAAAGGTTTTACACTTGGCAAAAATAGAAATCCAATGGAGCTTTTATCCCTTATAAAGAATATTCGGACAAATAGCCGGCCGGTAATGAATACTTATGGCGAAAAGGTGTTTGAGAAGAAGGTGATCTCAAGTACAGCCATACTGTAGGCGGAAAATAATGTAATAAATGCAACAAGACATATGGGTGAAGCGGCGGCAAGAGCACCGATTAAATTTTTCCTCATCCAAGAGCGGGTTTTTCGAGCCGTGCGCTCGAACTCAGCACCATGTTAAAGGTTTAGATATTGTTCTACGTATGACCTTTCAGAAATATCACAACTGTTGACGAAAAATGGAAAAATTAACGCAACTTTATATAACCAGCTTAATTTAACTTATTTATTTTTTTTTATTTATTATTTAACTTAAAAAAAAACAAAACTGGTTTTATTATCAGTCTTGAAGAGATATTTTTACACAATAACGTAGGAGTTATGTACTGTTCTTAAAACGTGCCAGCTACGTATGATTACAGCATATACTATAACCGCCTGTTGATTGCTAAAATAAAATTAAATTGAAATTAAGCTATCAATTCGACGAACTCGTTTATGGGGCTATTCTCACTACTCTGCATTTAGCGAAACCTTGTATGTGTCGCTCGAAGATCGGGAGGCAATTTGTGCTCGAGTGTGAGTGTTTCTGCCGAATTCTCAAAATCCGGAAATAGTTTGCAATGAAATTAAGAAGCAGTTTAGCCTGGTTTGTTCTTACTGAGTCAGGAAGTAACTTGAAAAAAAATTATGAATCGAATTTATATAAAATAGAGGCTTTACCTTTGTCCTAAACTCTATGTCCGATAGTTATTGTGAAGCGTTGCAACTAAACTGTTAACGCAACGCCAAGGTGAGCTTATCATCCGTAGGTCGTCACGATAATAGAATAGTCGTATTCTATGCGAGCTCTCCCTCTTTTTGACATCGAGCGCAAAAAACAACCCCACACGAGTACGTATACAGAAGTGACTGTTATAATTAATAGCCCTAAAGATTACATTGTTTAGTAGCGATACAGCAAAATTTCGTTTTGTTGTTGACTTTGGCATTCCATCTTCAGTTTACCGTAATCTGACTGTTTCTTCCTCTATGTCCTTTCCTGTCTTTCATTTCCTACTGCTCCAGGAAAACTGCTGTGAGTCAGGGGAAGTTCGTGCGCGAGCGATTCGCTTCAGAGGGACAACGGACACCAGTGGAGGTAGTCCTGTTCATGACCGAACCAACTCCAGAGATCCGCGCAGCTGTCCTTTGCACCATCGGGAACGTTCCGCTTCTCGAGAGAGAGCCATGCCCGCAGACAATGACAGTTAGCCCCACCAATCGGCCGTTCCGGGCAACTACTACCTAAATGATGCAGCGAACAGGAACCAACAGGACGATAACAGCATCAGTGACCACCTCTACGCTGACGATGACGACGATAGCAACAACAAAAACGGAAACATCAGCAGTAACAACAATGGAGAAATCCACATCTCCCAGTTCCTGGACGGACAAAAAATTCAAGCTTTTGCCAGCACATACAAACTGAATGCTACTGGCCAAATCGAACTTGAATTCGGCGAAAGTACACACCTAATACTAATTCTACCACCGTTTTCACGAGAAACATCACACCGATTTGCCACAGCGCTCGTTATCGCCGTAGCGTAATATCCTCAGTATCTGAAAAGGACGATCCTCAAGGACAGCACGAAAACCAGATCATGGCCACAAATAAGTTGCTTGATAATGAAAACAATAATAATAATAATGATAATAGCAGTAATAAATTGAAGTTGCTTGATGTGATGATGACAGTCACAATAATAAAAAGAGAATTTTGACGAAAAAGCCGACCAAACTAAGACCGGCTTATGTGGTCGACACCATTTGCTCAAGACGATCCTGACCACGCGAGCGTAGATACGTTACCACGGCGACAAAAGTATTCATGTGCGCTCAGCTTACGAGGAAGTTGATCCTTGCCTGTAAGATAGCGTTAAGTTGACATTTACCTATTAGGTCTACATGGCTGTGATCGAACGATAACGGAGAAAAGCAAGAAAATCGAGTAAAGGAAACCTAGCTAATTTAACCGTTACAACTGTTGTTTCTGCACAGAACACAGACAGAGGCGCCATAGAGCAAAAAGCGTTGGTGGCGCTGGCATTGATTTTTAGGGGGCGTTCATGGCCGCCATGTGTGTGACACGCTCCTCAGCACTATGCATTATGTAAGCTAATGGTAAAAATAATAATAGCAGGATGTACGTCGTCCACCCAATGATGTACAAAATGGAAAATATGACAGAATCAATATGAAATTAAGAAAAAAAAAATAGAACACTATTGATACTCACGGCAAAGCTAACAATAACTGATGATAACAGTGATTTTAAGGTGAGACCAAAATTAATACTACAGATCTTAACGGCTGCAACCACACGAAAACGTGTCTGACATATTGATGATCATTGAACAGTAATAGTATGATCTATGATTTTCGACCAAATCTATATACAAACAAATGCAGACTGTGTTGCTGAACAAAATCAACAGAATGACATCTTGCGACAAAGGAAAAAGTGAGGAAAAGATTAAAATGCGGTGCGATCGTTTACTTTGCAAAAGATACTACGTTTTTCATGACGAAAGAAATTTAGCTATCGTTGCCAGTTGCTGCAAATGTGCTGGTCCGACACTATAGGTGTCCCTGCGGCTAACATTTTCATCGATCCGTCTCCCTGGCTTCTCTTCTACGGGTAGAAGTTGGTCGCATTTCGTATGTATTAGATAAACATCTATGGCAAAGTAAACTGCATACATGATATAACAGTGCATGCGGAAAGCTAGTGGCTTGCTGACAAGCGGCAACAATCGAAAGGAAAATGTCCACGAGTGGAGAACGAAGGCGGGAGAAAACGTATATGTAACGATATAGGTAATACATCCTATAGAGTGATGAAGAAAGAAAACAACTCATGTAAATGCCTTGCCGAAAATGCGTCATAACGGTAACCTAGCGTCGTTACAAACAGAGAACGTCTGCGCTAATACAAACATTAAAACTAACAGTAAAAACAATTATTATAGAATAAGATGGGAAACTAATTTACTTTATGTAAACAACTAATAAATGTCACTAATGGTAATGGTAACGAAGGCATAAACATAGAAGGGTAAATATTACAACACGAAAGCTGGCGAAACAATACCGGACGGCAGGTAAGCTAAGCCAAGTATGAATTGAAACAAGAAAGTACGACACCGGACAGATATCGATAACAGCGCTGATAAAAAGGTACGGTGTTATTAAATACGAACCTCGGAGTCAGTGAAGGATAGGATTGTAGAGATATTGGCTTAACGCTGCATTTCCCTATTACTAGACTGATTGACCGCGGAGCTTCAAACAACTACAATAGTTTCGTATGTGTATAGGGTGTGCCTTAGTGACGCATGTGAACGCATACAGGCTTCGCAATCTAAACACTAACCCGTTACGTTGGCGGCGATGCTTCTTCCTCTCAGTTGGTGGAATATCGTAACTCGCCGGAAAGACAGCCGAGGATACGGTTTTATCTTGAAGAAAAGCGCAGACCGTCACGATCTGATTTCTTTTCCGTTTTAAGTCACTTTGCGATTAGCGGTTGTATTAACCGATACCAATTGGCAAAAGTGGTTTTATCCCTGAACGGCAGGCAATCCATGCAAAAATGCAAGATGATTAGGCGCAGCCGTACGGAGAGACCTTTTAGGTATTAAGAGCTGGTCTTCTGTTCCAAATTCATATCTTGACTCTGCCTAGAGACACGTGCACCTAATTGAAACGCGACAAGATAATGATCGAACGTAGCTACTAGTAAACTAGTTAATTTTAGTCCGACAAGCCTATACAGAAATTAACTGCCACTTCTAAATATTCGTACACGTTTTTAAAGTTCTAGTATTTAATTAAACCAAATGTCCCTATTAATAGACGCAAAAAAGCCTTGACCTCTGCAGAAATTATAAAAACATCATGATCGCTTGTAATGACGATGACTCACAGCTCTGGATAATATCGTTTCGCACTAATGAAGAAGCTTCGACGAATGACAAATTCTTTGTTCCTTATTGCTAGTATTACCACTACACTCTCTAATTAGGATCAGCAGTAACATGTTACTCACTAAATTTCGATGAAGAGTAAAAGTTTGTCGTGAAAAGATAAGCCCTTGAACGCGAAACACAAACATTTAAAGAGCCTTTCTTAGTTCGTCCAGGCCTGGCCCGCGTCGCGCCCCTTTTCTCTCTATGCATGTATGTACAACACTATACTATCGACTATTAGGAGGAGCCAGAAACGAAGGCGTTTTTGTAAAAAGCTCGAGACGAGCAAACAGTCGATCACGATAACAATGAACATACGATGTATAACGAAGCCTCAACTGTTTTTTTCTAAATGTGAGCAAGTCGGGGGAAAAGCGGAGCAAGCGACACGAAAACCAAGTAGGAAATCGCTCGAAAATGACGATCCGATGACATTAGATGAATGCACAACACTCATCCGACAATCGGCATAGCCTCTCAAATGAAGACGCTGACGATCGTAGCAAATATACTGATCATAGCGGAACTGTTAACAGATTGTAACTAGGCTAGTTCCAGAACTAGAACTGTACAGCGGAAGTTGGACAAACATAGCCTGCGACAAATACGGACAAAACGGGCAGACCGAATGAATCCGAGAGATTCCTTGATGACAGAAATCGACTAACTTAAAACGTAGATCAAACTTAAATGTAATATATAGCGTATAATAGTAACTATGAATGAGGCATAAAGCTAGCCAAATCACTGACAAAGTTCCTAGTAACACTTCATCGACCTAAGTATAATCGGAAGTTGTTTTTGTGTACTCGCAATGATGCTGTAATTCAACAATGAATTCTAGCTGATTTATCGAGGTGCGGTAAATTCGTATCGGATGCATTCTTGTATGGAAAAAAATCATGGGTTTTTATTGCGGATTACCTGGTTTCGTTCAACTAAACTCTAAAACCTATTTAGACATTCTCTAATTTTACCATTTTATTCAGTGATAATAATCAATGTCCACCAGAACTAGTCCACCGCAGCTGTGAGAATCTCATTTATCGTAAATCAAATCAGAGACATTTCCTGAAAGTAGGTTAAATTTTGATGCCCATCGTTTTACCAGAAGGGGAGCCTGGAACGCTACACATAAGCCTTATACCGAGTCGGAAGTGACCTGACTTTTAGAGGAGCACCTGATACTCGAGTACTTTGAATTGAACATCGTGTACAAATTGTACAAAAACACTGCGAGAGGAGACACAAGTAAAAAATGTTTCTTGCCTACCAATATTATATGAAAATTTTAACCACCCCCATTATCGTTCATTGCTCAATGGCGGGAGAGGATAGAGCAAAAATGATCTAAAAGGTATTATGTGAAAAACAAGAGCAACGAAGGGTGTGCGAGAACGGAAGAGCGAGAGCGAGAGAGAGAGAGAGAGAGAGAGAGAGAGAGAGAGAGAGCGAGCGAGTTGCTTTTGCCAGATGGTGACATTTTAAGAAGCACACTTAACAAAGAGCAGTGCTCCAATACATACTACCACCATAATGATTGTATTAATCAAGCAGAAATGATATCGACGTAAACATATTACTCTACTGAATGTCGTTAAAAATACAGGGCAGTGTCCACTATGTGGTTTGTTGACCTCCCACATATTTCGCTAGGTATTGTCGCTGTATTGTATTGCGACAATCCCTATCTGCTTTATATATGTATGTATATATATATATGTATAAGTATATATATATATATATGTATAAGTATATATATATATATATATATATAAAATGGATAGGGATATTCGTGCACAATAAGGACAAAAATACATTAGCTCATGGATGGGCCATGCATAGAACGGAAAAAGGTCACAATCGCAGGGACATTTTAGTCGGTCTACGCACTTGAAGATGCAGCAACTACAGACGCATAAAACAGAGAAACTTTTGATTGACAGACACACATACGACTAACACACACTAACCCTGAAAAGATGTGAATGACAGTACCACAGGTAGTACATAAAAAGCATAAACTTAAGAAAAATTACGCACTCACCTACGATGGTAGCACATTTTACAACAGGAACGACCTTTTTCGACAGTGATTATAACAATAGACATCCGGCAAAAATAATAACAGCAGTTGTATACGTGCATTTTGAAAAAGGTACTCACAGAGCCATACAGAAATTCCTAGATCCGGCCCAACTCAACCGTCATCGCCACGGGAAATAGAGACATGAACATACCTTCCGCTTGTCGATTTCTTGCCAGAAGCTCCCAATCGAAAGATGCGATATCGAGGGCTGAAATTGGGGCATCCGGTAGATAGCAGCAATCAAGCCGAAAAGACGCCCTGTCCACTCAAGCGTTGACCGAAACGAATAACAACGTAAGGACCAAATATTGGTGAGAAGCGAGAATATGGCACGACGCGGGAAGTCTGTTAATACCTAGTCCAGACGGTACACTAGCTCATAACCGGCTGTATGCATAAACAGAAAAATAAATCA